CCCTGTTCTAATTCTGCTGGTTTAGGTCCAAGAGAACATTTCACTTAGGCTGCCTTGGTCCAGGAAGTCTAAGGATGAAAAATGGGATGGGATTGTTACCTGAGAACAATATATTCTTCATTAAATTAGACAATGAAGGCACAGCCTCATGAAGGTGTTGTCACACAAGGAAGTTAATATCAATCTTACTATTTTGAAAGTTTGTATAGATGGTAAATATTTATAATATCTTCCCAACAAATCTTAAGTTCTCATTGAATATTATCAAACTAAACATATGTAGAATAGCCCTTTTGTAGAATTTTTTCAGTCTTATATTGTGAGGCTGTGCTTGAATTGGGAGGATTGAAAGACAGGTGTGAGTCTGATTCACTCAGGCATTATCTGGAGCTCATCTCCTCTAAGTAAGGCTTTTTGAAATCTGAAAGCTGGCAAGGTCATCTGTCCAGGAAAATCCTGTTGATCATTCAGCAATTTATCTTGGATTGACTCACTTCCTTCTGTCTATCCTTTAGGTAAGTAAATCTTGTTTGATTTATCCAAATAAAGTGAAGAGCATCCCAGAGTGTGGTCATGTCATCTTTCCAAAATTCGAAACATACTTTTCACTTATATTTAAAAACAGGCTGCACAAGGAAATGAGATCCCATCTCCTACCTATGAAAACAGCCACTATTAAAAAGCAAACACACAAATACATGAAAATAGAAATGAGTGTTGGTGAGGGAGTGGAGAAAGTAGGCCTTGTACACTATTGGTGGGAGTGTAGACTGGTCCAGCCTCTGAGGAAAACAGTATGAAGGTTCCTCAAAATATTTAGAATAGGTCCACCATATACTCCAGCAATTATACTTCTAGGTAGCTAGTCACAGAATATAAAATCACAAATTTGAAGTGACATTTGCATTCCTGTGTTCACTGCAGTAGCCAAGCTAGTACAACCTAAGAGTACAATGGTAGATGAGTGGCTTAAGTAGATGTGGCATATATACACAATGGAACAGTACCTACACTATTGAAAAGATGAACTCTTGTCATTTGGAACAATATGGATGGAACTGGAGGGGATAATACTAAGTGAATAAGTCAGAAGCATAAAGACAAATACTGGATTTCTTCATTCATATATGGACTAATAAAGAAGAAACCAAAGAACTAAATAAGACTAGCCAAAACAAACTCTAGAAACAAAACCATAACACTGAAGCAACCAGAGGGGGAGGGGTATAGAGAGAAAGACTTGAAGGAGGCCCAGTGGTCTATGGTAAAGGATTATGGGTGCTTGGTTGGTGGGCATGGTGTGGTGACATGTATGTGAACAGTGTAAACCCTAGATCATATACAGTGTTGTAAACTGATTTTATCTTTTTTTTTTTAAACATTTATTTATTTATGCAGAGAAGAACTGGGGTATAGGCCAGGGGTGCAGGAGGTGAGAGGATTCACTAGAGACAGAGTGTGGAACAGAACAGGCAGATTGACTGAAATACACTGCTGAGGGAAGCAGTGGGTGAGTCAGGAGAGGTCTGCTGCACCATGTGGGTAGCTCCCTGGCTGGGGAATCAAACTTGTGCTGCAGTGGCTGTGGATAGCTTCATAGGTTATGTCTTAACCCCTTGCACCACCAGGGAGGCCCTAAACTGATTTTATCTTAATAAAAATAGCCATCCAGAGGGATGTTGATGGAGTTGCCATTCTAGCGTGTTCAGATGGGCAGTCAGAGAAGCTTAATCTAGGCAACCTCACCAACATAAATGAGGAAAGTGATTGACAAGAAAGATGATGTCCCATAGGAAATGACACTGGTAAAATCTTTCCATTAAAGGCACTGAGAGATAGTTTATGACATTAAAAGTGCAAGGGATGAAATGTTAGAGGCTTATCTAACTGTAGAAGGAGTTATAATTCATCAAAAGCCAGAAAGATGCCCATTGTAGATCACAAATCATTTGATGGGCAAAGGACAGAATTGTTCTAACTGGATTTTTTTTTTAAATGATGAAAAATAACACTATATATCTGAGTGTTTTTAGTGTTTCCAATACTGTGTCCTAAGCTAGGTCTATTGTTTTTGTTTGTTTGTTTGTTTTTACTTCTCTACATAATTTGACCTGCACTTAAAGAGTTGCCAGTGTATTCACAACAACAAAACATTTGCATCAAGGAACTGTCAGTGTTGTTCCCAGAGAATGTTCGGATCATTTTGCACTGTGTTTTGCACAGCCTGGGTGTTGCTCTCCTGCTGAAGTTTAATTTTGGTTTGGTGCTAGGTGTTTCTTTGTGACACACAGATGACACTCTTCAAATAGTTTTAAAAAATACAATTAAGTGATAAAAAATAAAAAAAAAACAAGTACTAGAAATACATTGCAAATTATAGAATTTTGAATAAAGGATTATTATAGTTTATAAATTAATAATAGCTTATAAAGCTAATATTTTGTTGAACATTTTTTTTAATCTCAGATAGATAAAACCTCATAAATGAATTAATCCTCTGATATGATGATTACTGTCTTAAAAAACTTGGAATGTAAAACAAAATAAATAAAATGTCTGCAAAAAATTTAAAATTCATTGGCCCTGGCAGAAATATATTAGGTCCTATCTTGAAAATCTGCAATTCAACAAAAAATTTTAATTATTTTATTAATTAGAACATTCATTATATAATCAGAATAAAAAGAGTATGATTTTTCTTTTTTCAAAAATGTAGTATGTGCAAATGACCAACACATATTTAGGGACATTTCTTATAAGCAGCAGCAATAAGATAGATTTAATAAAAAATTACAGCCAATTAAATAATAATTTGACAAAACTTTTTAGTGACTGTTTGAATTCAATAATCTATTTAATTTAGATTGAAAATCTTGTTTTTAGTAAACCATTTAGTTTCCCTATACTGCTTCTCTCTAATGAGTCATGTAATAATTTCCAAATATATTCATATTATTTTCTATATATATATAGCAGTATGTTGCTACTTTAATTGTGTCTACACAGAATGTATGTGAATATAGGTATGTCGACTTATGCTTCATCCATCTATGGATAAATGAAATGAATGAAAATTGCAATCTCTGCTGTATGTTAGTAATCAATAATCTTGCTATAAGTTTTAATCATTAATGTGGAATCACTTATCAATAATGACAGTCAATACTTTTCTTTATTCTTTTATGTCCTTCATTTTCTCAGCTTTGTGGTGTTTCTCAAAATAGGGTACATCAATCACTGTCCCTAATGAAAAAATGTGTTTATAGAGAGTATATTTTATTTAAACTCAATTGCTGTATGTAAGATGATATTATTTACTTCATATCATTTTGACAGATTGTGTTGATTTTGAAAGTCTTTAAATTACAAAATAAAGGGAATAATATTTTTTCATATATTTTAATCCAATATAAAGCATGAATATATGTGGCTGTTTATAGTGTATGTACATAGTGGATGTTTAATATCTATACACATATATGTATCTGTGTACATGTGTAATACAAAGAACATTGCATTTGTTAATTTCTGACTTATAATTTCTTGTCAGGTTTTGCATCAGTTAGAATTACCAATGTCCAGTTTTCTTCTGGCTGTATTGGGTTGTCATTCCTTTGGATTGCCCTGTAGAAATTCAGGAGTTTGCACTAGCTTGCAGAATCTTGAAATGAATTGTACATTACTACAGTTGTCATTTTATGTTTTTGTGCTAGCAACATTATATTAGCTCTGGAGACTGATTTCACCCTGTCCTTTCTACTGATGTTTATAAAAATTCAAGCAGGTGTTCACTTGGGACTGTGAAAGCTTTCTAGGGCATGAATATTTAGGTAATGCAGTGGGTTTTATTTAAGTTATACTTTCAAACTGCTAGCTAAATGTTGAAGACAAAATAATTAAATACACAATGTTCTTGTCAAATGATTCCAAAGCCACTGGTCAAATAAGTTTTATGTTACTCTGGCAATACTACCAGAATGTGTGATTTTGCTTTTAATAAACAATATGTATCTGTGAAGCAAATAAATACTTGACTAGACTTTAGAAATCCTTGTGAGGCTATCAAATGTCTATTGAAATATGACTTATGGCATTAATATTTTTAACTTTTCAGAAGATCTAAAAAATATAGACGTCATTTTAGTTGCACAAACTATACCAATTATCTGCTTGTCAACAGTTGACAGTCATTTCATGATTCAGAGTGATAGTAAAAAAAAAATCCTGTTACTGTAATCAGAGTGTATTGCTGTAAATCATTCAGTGACAGTCTAAAGCAGTTTTCAGTTACTCCAAAGACAGATTTTTTTTTTTTTTGGCTATTGACTCAAAAAAAGTAAGAAAGATTTAAGAAATATCTTGTAAGTGCTGAGCTCAGAATTTAGCACCACATATCATCAATCGATACCCTCCTGAGACCAGACGGTTTACCAAAGAGTTATATTGACCTTACATTAGTTATTTTGCTTCCCAAACTGATACCAGCTAGGATCAATTCTTGTTATTTGTGAAATTAATAATATTGCAAATGGCTTCAAATTTTGAGAGTGCTTCCATTAACCACTTGCTTGCTGGAAAGCAGAGTTTTTAATCTCTTGAAGTAAAAATGTCAGTTTAGTAATGTGTAATATTAGAATTCTTTAATGTGGAAATCTTAGCACTGTGAAAAATGTTAAAGTGAATTATGATACATGTAATCATCTGATGTTTGGTTACTAAAAGATACTCTTCTAATTATCATTCCTCTTTTATATGCTTTACTATGTTAGAAATAGTTCTTGGATTACATTGCAATTTTATTAAAAATTAACAAAAGATGTATATAATAAGATACCTATTTTCTTATAATTACAGATACCTAAAATCACTTTCATTTTACTTGGAAATATATAAAAATGGCTAATTTTATAAGGGGGATGTACACTTAGATGTTGGTTTTGTTTTATTTTTAAATATTTACCATTTTTACTCTATTGTAACCTGTAAATCAACACTAATACCTCTAGTTGCCAGATTTCTAGTTGACTCAGTATCACGTCATCTACAACCTTTTTTTTCCTTAACTTCATCTGGATCTTACTTCCCTTCAAGTGATCAGTTCTTCATCAGTTTAGAATATGAGCAACAGTTTAGAATATGAGCAGTTTAGAATATGAGCAACAGTTTAGAATATGAGTTTTGTGTGTGTGTCTGTCACATAAGTCTGTCAAAGACAACAGTGCATAGAGCCCTGAATTCTTATGTGCCCATGTAGGAATGTTCTTATTGATCCTTCCCAGTCCTCTACTAGGTCTGCAACTTTATACTCACTGCTTTCAGCATAGTTAAGCAATAGTGAGATTTGTCTGCAAGTCCTAACTAAATTTATATAGAAGAACATATATCACAATATTTGAACTTCATCAACTACTTCCTGGAGAAGCTATGTCTTTTTTACCTGTCCAGATTCCCTAATATGTTCTTTGATTTGTTTTCTACACATTGAGAGTTGTTCTATTTGGGCTGTACATTTTCTTTATTCATTTTCATGTACTTGAATGTTTTCTTATAAAAAGTTTAGGTTTGACACTAATTGTATCAAATTGCTCATATTTAATAACATATTAACCTTATCACAAGTTCTATGGGAGTGAAAGGAAGCAAATGATACATTCCATTTCCAGTGCAAACAAACTACTTATCTTTAAGGATATAATTTGGAAAACATCTAGTAGATATACATTAAAATCTGAAGGACGCACTGGTCAATAACCATTGATTATAAATCAAGCTGTCTTATAAAAGTTGCCTCTCTTTTTGAATTTTGTTCATGATAGTTTTTTTGTCTTCAAAATCAGTTTTGAAGTGACTGTTTAAAAGGTAATACTAGGTAGAAACTTTGTACCCTTTGGCTCCAGATGCCTTATTCCCTGATTTGCTGACTCATTTGATAAGCAATCTCGAAACTGTCAACTTGCTCAACAACAACAAAAAAATATGGGTACTGCAGTCTTTGCCAAAATGGAAGTTTCTTTTTCTTGAACAGCTGTTTTCTGAATGTTCAGTTTAATGAATCACAAAACAAGATCTATCAAATGTTATCAAAAATGTTGCCTTTGATCTTAGCTTTGCTGCATTTGAATCTATCCAGGGACAGGATTTGGCAGTAAAGCATACTTGCTTCTATCAGAGGCACAGATATTTGATTTAAGATGTATATGAAATAGGGGAAGAATTTCCAAACTTGAGTTCAAGAATGACTTATTATCTCAGAAATCATTGAAGATACTTATCGTCCTTGTCTCACAATTCTCCATCCAGATTGACACAGACTTAAACTTGGCATTTTTATGAGTGTTTTCTGAAATTAAACTGTTTCTGTAGAACTTAGTCTATTGAGCATACCGAGAATATTTTAAAGAGGTCATCGTATAGTTCAGAGCCATGAAAAAAAAATCATATAATGTTCTCTCCAGAGACTAGTTATTACAAATAGAATTGTCTTCAAAATTAAATTAAAATACAATTGCATTAAAAACATTTGTTGTTGGGCCTCCCCGGTGGCGCTGCGGTTGAGCACTGGGTTGCAAAGCTGCCCGCGGCCTCTGCAGCACCGGTTCGATCCCTGGCTGCTCTCCGGCCACGGGAGGAGGGTACTGCATGGCACGCAGACCTCTCCTGCCGCCCGCTGCTCCCCTCAGCAGTGTACTTCAGTCCTTCTGCCTGTTCTGCTCCCTGCTCTGGCTCTGGTGAATTCTCTCACCCTCCTGTGCTTCTGACTGTATCCAGTACTTGTATAAAATAAATAAAGAAATCTTAAAAAACAAACAAAAAAAAATTTGTTGTTGGGCCTCCCTGGTGGTGCAGCGGTTGAGCGCTGGGTTGCGAAGCTGTCCGCGGCCTCTGCAGCACCAGTTCCATCCCCGGCTGCTCCCCGGCCACCAGAGGAGGGTCCCACATGGCGCGCAGACCTCTCCTGCCGCCTGCTGCTCCCCTCAGCAGTGTACTTCGATCCTTCTGCCTGCTCTGCTCCCTGCTCTGGCTCTGGTGAATTCTCTCACCCTCCTGCACTTCTGACTGTACCCAGTGCGTGTATAAACAAACAAACAAACAAACAAATAAATAAATAAAAATCTTAAAAAAAAATTTGTTGTTGCCAATGATACATCAATTTAGATAAGGGTTTAATGGAGGACTGGCATACTAGTATTTATACCTATTATAACAGGTTGAACTTTAGTTAACTTTCTCCATGGTTTCCAGAAAAAGAGAAACTCTTGAAAATACGATGTCATTAACTATATTATAAACTGGAAGGAAAAGTGTACATGGTATTTTTTTTGAAACATTATGTTATTCAAATTGGAAATAAAATGGCTAGCTGATGGCTTGTAAATTTTTGGATGGCTTGTAAATTTTTGGCAATAGCAACCGATTTTTACGACCATGACAGTTATATAATAAAGCTTAATTAGATGGTCAGTGGATATTTGCTATTTCTATGTTGAAATAGTGTCATTTGATTATAGAAAGAGGCTACAGGTCAGAAATATCTTTGGCAATGCTGGTAACCCTGTATTTAGTTTTTCCTTTGAACAACTGTGGTTTCTGTTATGCAATTAACACATGTATTTAAGGATCATAAAATATGTGAGTGATTGCCATCATTAACATTAGTGTGTAATATTTTGTTTCAACTCATCAATTAAATGAAAGACTATCATCTACTTTGGATGAAAGGTTTACACTTCTGCTTAAAATAAGTGATGCTTTTCAGTGTCAGGTTTATTTAAAGTAGAAGAGTGTTAGAGAACACACATACACACATGAGGAATTTTCCAAGGCAGCATTGCAACAATTTCTTACTCTTATTGGTAATACCATAATGGCATAATGAGATGAAGAAAAATATTTAAAAATATATTTATAAGCACATTTAAACAGAAAACAAATGCAAAGTAATGCTTTCCTAAAATCTTAATAATTTATTTTCCATAAACAATTTATTCTGTATTTTCACATTGACAAAATACCTTATAATAAAAAGGATCCCACTTATGTGGAAATTAAGGAATCTGCTTAAAAGAATAGACTTTATATTTAGAGCAGTTTTAGGCTTAGAGAAAAATTGAGCACTTCCCTCACACACAGATTTTCCTGTTCCCAAAGTCTTGCATTATTGTGGTTGGTACAATTGAAGTGCCAGTATTGATCCATCATTATTAGCTAAAATTTAGAGTTTGCCTTAGTGTTCATTCTCTCCATTGTACAGCTCTATGGGTTTTGATAAATTCATTATGTCATGTATCCAGCATGGCAGAGTTATCTATAACAGCCTCACTACCTGAAAAATCCCTATGCAATGTGTATTCATCCCTATCAAATCCCTGTCAGCCTGTGATCTCTCACAGAATACACCGACACAGTATGTAGCTCTTTCAGACTGCTACTCTTACTCAGCCATACATGGTGAAGATTCCTCTATGTCTTTTCATGGCCTGCTAGCACACGTCCTTATTTCTCTTATACCACTCGGTTGTACCTTGTGTTTTCCACTCACCTGTTCAAGAGTATCTTGGTTGCTTCCATTATTTTGGTCACTATGCTATAGACAGTAGTATGAAGGCTTGTTTTGTGTATATAAGATTTTAACTCATCAGGTAAATATTTGGATCATATGATAGTTGGATTTTTATTGTAAGACTTTTTAGCTTATTAAGAAACTCTCAAACTAACTTTTAAAGTAGTTACATTATTTTGGATTTATGCCTATATATATGTATATAGGTGTATATATTTACACACATGTATATGTATAGATGAAGATATATATATACACACACACACATATATATCTTCATTTTCTAAGGTGAGGTATCTTTTGCCTATTTAGAGTTTCTTTTAAAATTGAAATTATTATTTTGGGGTTTAAAGAGCTTTTGTATATTTTTGAATACAATTTCTTTCTTAGAATTGTGTTTGGCAAACGTTGTCTCCCAATCTGTGTCTTTGTTTTTGTTTTGTTTTTGTTTGGTTTGGTTTTCTGTCATTCCCTCAACAGTGTCTTTCACCAAGCAGTAGTTTTCAATTATAATTTTCAATTATAAAGAAGTCACACTTAACGAATTTTTATTGCAAGGATTGTATTGTTGATGTGGTATCTAAAACATCATCACCAAGCTCAAGGTTACCTAGATCTTCTTAATAATTTAATGCTTTACATTTAGATCCATTTTTGATTACTTTGTGTCATTTGTATGGTCTATATTTGATTAATTTTTTTGACACGTGACTATTCAGTGTTTTAGAACAATTTGTTGAAAAGATGATTCTTTCACTATTGAGTTGTTTTTACTCCTGTGTCAAAGACCAATTGACAATGTTTGTACTGGTCTATTTCTGGGCTCTCAAATCCATTCTATTAATATATTTGTTCTTTTGCCAAGAGCACATTAACTTAATTACTATCGCTTCATAATGAGTCTAAAAGTCAGGTAGTGTCAATCTTCTAATTTTTTTCCTTCAATATTATATTGCTTTATTCTGAGACTTTTATCTTTCCATATAAACTTTAATGAGTCATTATGGAACTCTATTAAATCATGGGTATCTTGAAAATGGGAACTATTGAGCTGATATGTAATATAACAATAATTATTAAAGTATAAAATATATTTTGTCTTTAACACTGAAGTTGTAATTCTACCAATTAGACCAAGAAAATCATTAGAGATGTATATAAGAATTTACCACAAGGCTATTTACTACACAGTTTAGTAAAGAAAAACTAAATTAAGAACCTTCAGCTATGTCGATTTTAATTTTATATTATGTGAAAAATAGGTATAATATTTTCCAGATATTTCTCCCAGTAAACAGATGATTTTAAACTAATTCTGACTTTTGCAAAATATGGACAACTATTCAGTTATTAAAATATGTGCTTTAGAAAACTAACTCATGACATATAAAATGCCTACATTCTACAGGTGGTTGAAAGAAGGCTATAAATTATTTGAAGTAAATAATCCAAATTTAATAAAAATTACATTTAACTATTTCTAATATAAAAGCATCTAATTTAGTAAACACTTTTAATTTCTAGTATGTATAATTA